TGTATTTTTTCATGGTATACACCGATGTTTTTTTTTTAGGGCCGGGCCGAGGTAAGTGGGTCTGGGGTATGGGGGCTGCTTTTTTGCTTGGTGGCGGCTCTATTTTAAGGCCGGGGCCCAAAGTAGGCACGTGCAGAGGGGTTAGGAACAACTAAGGGAGATGAACTTGTCTGTCAGTTTGTTGTCCTGTGGCTTACATGTTGCTATGGGACTGGAGGCTATGCCACTGGTATTGCAAAATGCCAGCAAGGTTACACATGGTGCACAGGTTTCAGCGGAGCTGCTGGGCCTAAGACAGACTCAGGAGAAGGAAGAGGCCATCGACTTCTCAAACAATTGGCCAGCGAAAACCTTATGAATAGCAGTGAAACACTGTTGGATATATTACTGCAAAACTTAACAAACAGTCCTGAAACACTATCTGATATAATGGTAGAAGATAAGCCCATCAGGTTGAAAGGCACTCAAAATTTAATTGGGGAAGAGCTGACTCCTCAGAGTAGAGACAACCTTAACAATATAGATAGAGTAAAGCTTTTGGGACCTCCATTGGCTGATGTGCCATGACTCAAAATGGGTAGAAACAGATGTAAACATCCATTAATAATTGGAACACAGAATGTACAAAGTATGAATCAAAGAAAATTGGAGGTTGTCAGAAATGAAAGTGAACACATAACAACATCCTAGGAATCAGTGAGCTGAAATGGACTGGTTTTGGCCATTTTGAATCAAGACAACCATATGATCTACTATGCCAGGAATGACAAATTGATAAGGAATGGCGTGGCATTCATCATCACAAAGACTGTTTTAAGATCTGTCCTGAAGTACAACACTGTCAGTAATAGGATGATATCCATATGCCTATAAGGAAAACCAGTTAATAGTACTATTATTCAAATCTATGCACTAGCCACCAAAGTCAAAGATGAAGAAATTGAAGATTTTACCAACTTCTACAGTCTGAAATTGATTGAACATGCAACAAAGATGTGTTGCTTATAACTGATGACTAGAATGCAAAAGTTGGAAACAAAGAAGAGTTACCGATAGTTGGAAAACATGGCCTTCGTGACAGAAATAATGCTGGAGCTCGCATGATAGAATTTTGCAAGACCAATGACTTATTCATTATAAATACCTTTTTTGGACCACATAAATGACAGCTATACACATGGACTTCACCAGATGGAATACACAGGAATCAGACTGACTACATCTGTGGCAAGAGGCAATAGAGAAGCTCAATATCTTCAGCCAAAACAAGGCCAGGAGCTGATTGTGGAACACACCATCAACTGCTCTTATGCACGTTCAAGTTGAAGTTGAAGTTGAAGACAATTAAAACAAGTCCACGACAGCCCAAATATAACCTTGATAATACACCTCTTGAATTTAGAGACCATTTGAAGAATAGATTTGATGCACTGAACATCAATGACTGAAAACCAGAGGAATTGTGTAATGACATCAAGAACACCATCTATGAAGAAAGCAAAAGGTCATTAAAAAGACAAGAAAGGAAGGAGAGACGAAAATGGATGTCAGAAGAGACTCTGAAACTTGCTCTTGAGCGGACAGTAGCTAAAGCAACTGGAAGAAATTACAAGATAAAAGAGCTGAACAGAAGATTTCAAAGAGCAGCTCGAGAAGACAAAGCCAGTTACTATAATGAAATGTGCAAAGACCTAGAGTTAGAAAACCAAAAGGGAAGAACATGCTTGGCATTTCTCAAGCTGAAAGAACTGAGGGAAAAATTTAAGCTTCGAGTTGCAATATTGAAAGATTCTATGGGCAAAATATTGACCAATGCAGGAAACATCAAAAGAAGATGGAAGGAATACACAGAGTCACTGTACCAAAAAGAATTGGTCAATGTTCATCTATTTCAGGAGGTGGCACATGATCAAGAACCAACGGTTTTGAAGGAAGAAGTGGAAGCTGCACTGGAGGAAGTGGCGAAGAACAAGGAATTGATGGAACACCCACTGAGATGTTTCAGTAAACAGATGCCCCACTGGAGGCACTCACTCGGCTATGCCAAGAGATTTGGAAGACAGCTACTGACCAATTGACTGGAAGAGATCCATATTTGTATCCATTCCCAAGACAGGTGATCCCACAGAATGTGGAAATTATTGAACACTATCATTAATATCACATGCAAGTAAAATCTTACTGAAGATAATTCAAAAACAATTACAGCAGTATAATATAGCTTCCAGAAATGCAAGCTGGATTCAGAAGAGGACATGGAATGAGGGATATCATTGCTGATGTCAGATGGATCTTAGCTGAAAGCAAAGAATACCAGAAAGATGTTTACTTATGTTTTATTATCTACACAAAAGCATTCGATTGTGTGGATCATAACAACTTATGGATACATTGAGAAGAATGGGAATTCCAGAACACTTGATGGTATTCATGAGGAACCTGTACATAGATCAGGAGGCTGTCATTCAAACCGAACAAGGGAATATTGCATGGTTCAAAATCAAGAAGGGAGTGCATCAAGATTGTATCCTTTCACCATACTTATTCAATTTGTATGTTTGTATGCTGAGCAAATAATTCAAGAAGCTAGATTATATGAAGAAGAATGTGGCATCAGGATTGGAGGAAGACTCATTAACAACCCGTGATGCACAGATGACACAACTCTGCTTGCTGAAAGTGAGGATGACTTGAAACACTTAGTGATGAAGATTAAAGACTACAGTCTGCAGTATGGGTTACACCTCAATATAAAGAAAACAAAAATCCTCACAACTGGTCCAATAAACAGCTTCACAATAAATGGAGAAAAGATTGAAGTTGTCAAGGACTTCATATTACTTGGTTGTACAATCAACACTAATGGAAGCAGCAGTCAAGACATCAGACAATGTATTGCATTGGGCAAATCTGCTGCAAAAGACCTCTTTCAAGTGATGAGGAAGCAAAGATATCTCCTTGAAGACTAAGGTGCACCTAATCCAAAACATGGTATTTTCAATTGTCTCATATGCATGTGAGAGCTGGACAATGAATAAGGAAGGCTGAAGAAGAGTTGATGCTTTTGAGTTGTGGTGCTGGAGAACTATGCTAAAAGTACCATGGTCTGCTAAAAGGACTAATAAATCTGTCCTGGAAGAAGTGCAGCCAGAATGCTCCTCGGAAGCGAGAATGGCCAGACTTACTTCGTCTCACCTACTTTGGTCATGTTGTCAGAAGGAACCATTCCCTGGAGAAGGATGTCATGCTTGGTAAAGTGGAGGGTCAACGAAGAAGGCCCTCAACATGATGAATTGACACAGTGGCTGCAACGATGGGTTCAGGTATATGGGTTCAGGTATATAGCAAGCATCATGAGGCTGGCACAGGATGGGGCAGTGTTTCGTTCTGTTGTGCACAGGGTCGCTATAAGTCGGAGATGACTTTATGGCACCTAACAACAACACTCATGTTTGCTGACTATAAGAAAGGAGACCCAGCCTAGAAGCATCCCGACTTCCAGCAGTAAATGGATATAAAGGCCTATAAGCAGGCAATGTTTCACAATTCTGTAAAAAAAAATTTATTGTGATTTGGGTGAAAGTTTACAGAGCAAATTCATTTTCCATACAGCAGTTTATATATATTTTGTCTCATGACAATGATTGCAATTCCCCACAATGTAACAGCTCTCTTCCCACTCCCCACCTGTAGTTACCTCTTCCCTGTGTCCTTCTTTTCTATGCATTCCTGCCCCCTGAGCTATCTCCCTGTGCAAATACTGCCCTTCTGTTCTCCCATGATTGACTGTTCTAAGGAGTATATCTACCTGATGTTCACCCCATATGCCTGTCTATTATTTGGCTGGAAGTCACAGGAGTGAGTTCAGTTCCAGACCTGAAGGGTAACTAGGGGCCATAGTCTTGGGGGTCTCACCAGACTCTATCAGACCTGGCCTTTTTTTAATGATTTTGAGTTTTGTTCCACATTGTTCTCTCACTCTATCCAGGATTTCCTGCACTGATCCATTTATGAGTGGTTGTTTCACAATTTTTTTATATAACATGGTTCATTTGATCTTCCCCACAATGGACAATGAGAAGGCTTTAACTGTAAGGAGTTAATCTAAATTCCGAGGGTCATGTTACAGTCCACTAGTAAAACCAGCCCTGGCTGCCATGAAGTCAGCCATACCTCTGCCAGGCTCACCCTGCTGCAAGAAGAGGCTGGCACCTCAAAAGCATTCCATCAAAATAACGTCTTTCCTACTGAGTGCTTCTCCGTCTCCTGACCTCATTTAGGAAGCTCCGCTAGGGATGTTATGTGCCCCCAGATGGAGTTGCTGAGATCTAGCCTATCATTTTATTGCCAACTGTGACTCTAATTTTAGTGCCATGCAATTTCCATACACACAATTTCCACTCTCTGTTCAATTATTTTTCATCCTAAGAGCTCTCAACCAAGAACTGCCTGTCTCCACTCCTGTGAAAAATTAAAAGGTTAGAGTAATAGCTTACATTTATTTGGCTTTGCAATTGATAATGCACTCCCCTCTATCATCTCACCTACTTCTTGCCCAGCCCTGAAGGATAAGCATCACCATCCCCATTTGAGAGACAGGAGGCTGAAGCTCAGCAAGGTAAGGTCCTTGCCTATTGCCCTAAATGGATGAGCTGAGCTAGGATCTGAAGGAGCCTAATCCAGTGCTTACTGTTCCATGTTCCAGCTGTTTCTGAACCTGAAAAATAGCTGAGAAGGCCTCAGATTGAACTGGGTCAAATCCTAGCTTCTCTGTTATGTGGCCCTTAAACAGGTGCCTTCACTGCTATGGGCCTCAGTCTTCTCAACTGTAAAATGGCATTCACATAATAGACAGTCCTGCAGATCAGCCATCTGGCATACAGTAAGAGCTCCACAAACTCAGGTCGCTCCTCTTGCCCTGTAATGATGCTGTCATCATTCTGATGAGTAGAGGAGATAGGAATCTCTTAAAAATGACTTTCAGAAAAAGTGCAATTTACCTGTTAGCCACCAGAGTGCAGTCAATCTCTGGCCGCTTCGTTTTGGGAATGGCATACAGTGGGTACCTGTCCCCATGGCGGATGAACACGTGCACTGAGACCAGTTTAAAATGATGCGGGGCGTGACCTGCAAGAAGAAAGGAAGCACAAGGTTCAACCATCACTCAGGAATGCCAACCCTTTTGGCTGCAGAGAACATAGGGCTGTAGAGGTCATGGCCACTCTGGGATTCAGCAGAGGCAAAGGAGACCTCCAAGGGAACAAGGGAACTCTGGAGAGGCTATGGGACCTCGGCCTGTGCTGGATGAAGGACAATAAATAGCCTCATGAGGCAGAGCAGAGGAGCATGGGATGGCTAATTATGTTCAAACTCTCCCCTCCCCAACAATAAGGGAGGAGCATGCTGGGGGCTGGAGGCAGGCAAATGAAGGCATGATTACTATGTGGTCCACTAACATACACAGCTTTGGGGGAGGCCCACAGGAATACTGGAGATGATGATTTTGCCTTTAAATCTTTTATGCAACAAGGCATATAAATATCCAACATAAATATTCAACATATCTTTGATACACTTCTGAAAAAACAAAGCTCTGTACAGAAATCCTATTTTTCCATACCTTTCCTGTAAGACACCAGCAGGGTATCCTGTACATGTCCTCAGCCCTGAGAGAGCAGACAGCCAAGGAGGATGCCCTAAAGCCTTACCAAGGCTACCATTCCATCTAGCTGGTATCTCACTGAAAATCATGATAGTGTAAACATTTGTGGAAGGCATATAAACTGGAAGCTCTGGGTAGTGAAACAGTTAAGTGCTCAGCTTCTAACCGAAAAGTTGGTGGTTTGAACTCATTCCGAGGAACCTCAGAAGACATACCTAGCAATCTACTTCTGAAAGGTCGCAGCATTGAAAACTCTATGGAGCACAGTTCTGCTAACATACAAGGTTGACTCAACAACAACTGGTTATTATGGACAATGCACTGTTCTAAGTATTGACTTATTTCTCCCAGCAGTCCTGTTGATAGGTACTACTAGTTACCCCCATTTCATGGATGAGGAAGCTGAGGACAAGCACTCATTCAAGGGCACAGCCTAGGGACAACCACAGGATTTGAATCCAGGCTGTCTGGCTCCTTATCACTGTGCTATGCTGCTTGAAAAGAACTAGCCTGTTGAGGGGTGTCCATCCCAGTACCAAAGTCCCGGGCTTCGAAGTACAGAGTCAGGAGACATGGCCTACCTTCCATGCTGCGCTCAGCCACACTTGGAATGTTGCAGTACAAAAGAGCTTCGTAAACGGGGTCCATCACGGGGGGCTCTGTCACTGGGTCGGGCATGATTCTCTTTCGACTCTTGCTACTCGCTCCATTCTTAGCTGCTGACACTGGGATCAGGTGGACTGTGAGGGAAGCAGGGTGCATCATGACACACGAGGTCCCTGGCGGGGCCAAAAGCAGGGCTGCATTTCATTTTGAATAACTATTCTCTCCTTCAGAATTATGATAGGCTTTAGTGTAGGAGGGTTCCTAGGTGGTGCAAGCAGTTTAATTACTAACCTAAAGGCTGGTGGTTTGAACCTACCCAGGAGTATCACAGAAGAGAGGCCTAATGATCTGCTTCTGTAAAGATTAGAGCCAAGAAAACCCTACTGAGCCCATTCCTACCCTGTAACTTGGGGCCACCGTGAGCCAGAATCCACTTAGTGGCACTGAGTTTGGTTTTACTCATAATCTGTTTCTTGAGCCCTATTGAGTCTTGCCTCTTTATGTCATTACCCTCTTCTCATCAACGTTGTTAAGTCCCATTGAGTTGGCTCTGACTCATAGCAACCAAGCCTACGTACAACAGAATGAAACACTGCCTGATCCTGCGTCATCCTGAAAATCTTTGCTGTTTCCCTGCTCATCATTAGGTTTGCAGTGGCCAATTTTTCCAGAAGTAGATGACCCCGTCCTTCTTCCTAGTTGTCTTTGTTTAGAAGCTCCACTGAAACCTGTCCACCATGGGTGACCCTGCTGGTATTTGAAACACCAGTGGCATAGCTTCCAGCATCACAGCAACACACGAGCCACTACAGGAGGACAAACTGACAGATGAGCAGTGGTCTCATCGATACTTATCTATAATTATCTATGCAACACTGGTAGAATATCCCAGAGAAAGCTACTTTGCTTAAGGTAGTTAAAGAAAGAACTTACACACTAACTTCTTACAACTTGGTTATCTCCCTCCGGATCCTCCTGAATTCTATTAACAAAAGTAAGGAGGAAAACCATCATGTATTGAGCACTTCCAAAAACCCAAACCAAACTCACTGCTGTTGAGTCAGATCTGACTCCTAGCGACCCCTCTGTGGGTTTCCAAGGCGGTATCTCTACGGAAATAGATTGTCCCATCTTCCTTTCAAGGAATGGCTGGTGGGTTTGAACCGCCAGCTTTCTGGTTAGCAGTCAAATAAATGCCACCAGAGCTCCTGAACAACAGGTATAGAAGTTCATAAATGAGAACCTAATTTGTTGTGTAAACTTACACTAAAAACTCAGTTGTTTTTTTTTTTTTTTTAAATGAAGGTGGCTACATGGAGGAGAGAGGAGCGAGCAGAGGCAAACACAGCAGACCAGAGCCAGCAAGCTGGCTGAGGGGATGCTTCAGGTCCCCTTTGATGCCTGGTCCAGTCTGCTCCCCAGGGCTGACAAACAGGGAGACCCCTGAGAGCTAGGCCACATATCAGAGTTTTGTTCCACAATTTAGCAACTAGGGGGCCTGGAGGAGCCAGTCCCTGGCTAGACGCCTCTGTCCTGGCTGCGTGTGACTTGTATCAGCTCTGGGCTTGCCTTGCTCTGTAACAAAATGGGCTGAGGAGCAGGCCTTGCTGGGGAAAATAGTCCCCAGCTCCTGCAGCTGCCTGTCGGACAATTAGGAACTCTGGTGACCCCAAGCAGAGGTCATCAGGTGCAGTGTAGTAAATTACTTAGTGTGGCTTTTCTACCCATAAGTCTTTGTAAACTCCAAGGTGGGAATTGCTATTAGCTACGGAGGAGATCCTGATTTTAAAGTTGCCCACCTGGGTTATTTCTGTTGGGCGTGGCACAATACAATGTTCTGGGAAGTTCCCACTCTCTCTCACGTGCTTAGAGTTCTGATGCTGTGATTGGCTAGTTTGACCACCCTTCCAGGCTCAAAAGGAGGCCTCCTAGAGGCAGAACTCTCTCTCTGACTGCTGGTGGAGGAAGACGTGCTGCTGAAAGAGACACGCACCCCTGAAAGAGACACGTGCTGCTGGGAAAGAGACGCGAGAGACACGCATTGCTGAGTGAGACACCGAGGGACCAGCACTGCTGGGAAAGAGACTGTGAGAGACTGTTGGCTGAGGGATGTTGGGTTGGGAGAGAGACTGAGTGTTCTTCCTGAACTTGAGTTGTAGCCTGGTGCTTCCCTAATAAACCTCATAATCTGTGAGTTCTGTGTGGCCACTGCAGCGAATTATCGAACCCAGGAGAGAGGTGGTGGGTGCTTTGGGAGGAACAGTTGGTGAAAGGGCTGGAGGGAGACAGCATGTCTGGCCTTGCAGTAATAGGCCTTGGGTTACTGCTGGTAATCCTGCCTTCCCCTTGTAGGGTTAGAGGAGGTCAGAACATGTGGCCTCCTTGTCGTTTTTGCATCAGGCCACACAAAGGGACTGTGGGGGCATGCAAAAGAACAGTAGGTAGACAGATCCCACCAAAAAACCCCAAACCCACTACTGCTATCAAGTTGATGCTGACTCATAGTGGCCCCTACTGGGTTGCCAAGGCTGTAAATCTTTATGGAAGTAGATTGACTCATCTTCCTCCCACTGAGCAGCTGGTGGGTTTGAACTGCTGACTTTGTGGTTAGCAGCCAAATGTCTTACCCACTAGGCCACCAGAGTTCCCTAAGCAGACAGGTAGGGGGAAGAATAATGAATTCATTCTGTAGGTGGAAAAAAACCCGTAACTCCACGTTGAGTGCTGGGAGGCCACTGTGCTACCAAAAGCAACATGAATCACAGAGTTAGAACTGTCCTTTATTGATAATTAACTAATTCTGTACCAATGGCTGTGTAATTTCTGTGTGACAGCCTCTCAGTGATATAACTACCAAACAAAAGGGAAGGTTTTTATAAGCCTGAGTCTTTCATTTACAGCTACTTTCCCTGTTCATCTCATCTACAATCACTTTCTTCCGTCTGTACATCTTTAATGCTCTTATATAAAATGATGCCAACAGGGTCTCAATTTCAAAGAAAGAGTAACATTACCTCTAGAGCATCTCTTTGGGCCTCCTTGCTCTTAAAAGCAATGAGTACACTTCTTAGCATCTCTAATAAAGCAGCAAGGTAGGCTCCCTCCCCCAACTCCAGTGTACAGATGATGAATACATATGATTAGCAAACATTCCTATAGCGATGACTAGAGTATGGCCAGACTGGGCTTCTGCTTTTTCTACTTTGGACCTCACCCTAGGAAGAATAACCACTGGCTAGGCAGTAGCCCTTAGTCTGAAGTTAAGGGACTTGCCTGAGGTCCTGCAGTCTGCAAGCCCAGGCATGCTGATCTCCCAAACCTGGTGTTTATGCACCTATCTGTCCAGCCATCTGGAATTTGTTGAGCATCTGCTGGGGATTCAACGGAAAATCAGACAGACAAGGTCTCTCCCCTCATGAAGTTCCATCTTGTTGCTGAGGGTGGTCAGGTATTAAATAAGGGGAGTAGGAAGCATGTGGACCTTAAGTGGAGCATGGCCTCATTGGATGGCCCCTCCTTGTCCCCTGGCCTTTGGTGCACTGAAGACTTAGATATAAAAGAAATGCTGGGAAACCTCCGTGAGAGTGATCAATAACAGCCTCCAGCAAACTATGGCATTATCAATAAATCCTGGGATATGAGTGGCCCACTGTCAACACTATGAACATGTCTTGTTGTTAGGAACCGTTGAGTCAGCTCTCACTCATAGTGACCCCATGTACAACAGAATGGAATACTGCCCAATTCTGCACCAGCCTCACAATTCTTGCTATACCTGAGCCCATCGTTGCAGCCACTGTATCCATCCATCTCGCTGAGGGCTTTCCCCTTTTTCATTGGCCCTCCACTTTACCAAATATGATATCCTTCTCAGGGAATGGTCCCTTCTGACAACATGACCAAGGTAGGCGAGACAAAGTCTGGCCATTCTTGTTTCCAAGGAGCATTCTGGCTGCACTTCTTCCAGAACATGTCTACAGTGAGATATTTCATCTAATGGATTTGCTTCTTTTAATTTTTGTTTATTCTATTGATGCTCCCCACAGAACACAGAAGGGAGAGAAAGAGTCCAGGGTCAGGGTCAGATCATATCTTCATGGCACAAGCTTGTGGCCTGACAAGCCCCTGTATGGCCTTGGGCCTCACATCAGCTTAGCTACTGCCACAAACTGAACCACAGGGTCAACAGGTAATGTTAGAGTCAGGTGTCTTCTGTTAGCTCATTCCTAGAACCACCATGACTTGCCCAAAGACAGGTCTTTCCTCCAGGTGCCAAGCCAACACTCATGGTCTCCAGCCATCAGCCATAGTGAGGCTCTAGCACATAGGACAAAAATCTGCCTGCAGACCAGGCCTTTTTCCTCCTTCTGTCCTTAAGAAGTTTCTGTATGCAAGCCCCTCACACTGTACCTAAAACTGACTTTGACAGAACACTGTGGAGGGCTCCCATTGCTAAGCCAGCTCATTGTCCTTTCCTTCTTTCTCTGGGGACAGCCCTATCATTCCCCATGACAACCCTGTGGGCTGCCATCCTGTTCCTACAGGACCCTGTTCTTGCCATGCTCACTGGTCCAGGGACGGGACCTGCCTCTAGCCAGCTGTGACAATAAGGGCCCCTCTGAAAAAGAGATTGTTCCCCATGTAGAAGATACCCATTTGTAGTGGGAATCAGGTGATCTCCAAACTCACCATCCTTGAGGGTCTCTGTGCTTGTGTGGGTTGGTTGTCAACTGATTGTACAGACACGTTGGCAAATTAAAGTCATATGTCAGGCATCCATGGAGTCACTGGGTGGTGCAAATGGTTAAACATTTGGCTACTAACCAAGTTTGAGTCCACCTAAAGGTGCCTTGGGAAAAAGGCCTGGTGATCTACTTGTGAAAAACCAGCCATTGAAAACCTGATGGTGCAGTTCTACTCTGACACACATGGGGTTTCCATGCCAACTGGCTTATCAGGCACCCACTGGTGTTTCAATGAATGTGAGTATGATGGGAATCAAAGTGTAAGCTCAACTGTGTCTCTACCACTCAGGGCTCAGCTCCCCAGAGTCAGACCACCAACTCCACTAGCATGGAACCTCTTGGGGCCGAGGTCCAGCCTCACCATCTGCTTTTTACCTTCCTGGCTCTAG